TATATATATATATAATACAAAAAATTATAGCTAAAATAACGATTATAATTTTAATTTATTCTGTTAGTGTCATTAAGGCAAAATGCAAAATGTTCTAGTTATAATGTAGTATATCATAGGCAAATAATTTCTATAACTACCGTAGATTGTTCTTAATTTCCGTAGTTCATTTTATTATATAACTTTGTATTTACAACACACTGTATTTAGTTTATATTTTTGTCACAAAGTTTTGTTTATAACCAAAGAAAAACTCTTTGTAAGGTAGAACCAATATGACCAATCTAGGAATACTGAATATAATATTACAGAAATAAGTACGTAAGTAGATAAATCTATTGTTTGGAAAGTTGTTGAAATGCTTTGTACATTATTACATAAATAATCCAATAAATATGTCAATATGTTAATAAAATTCTAATCTCATAAGATAACATTAGATTATTTTATTTTCTATTTTTCTAACATTTTTTTAATAAAAAGGGGAAAACAGATATATATCCTATTATTGGGTTTTCCGGAAAGTTCGTGCCGACTAATATATAATTTAATAAATGTATATTAAAATTTAAATCTTCTGCGTTTCCTTCAATTTTCCTTCAACATCGGCACGGACTTTCCGGACAATCCAATACATATAGTATCAGATATGTAAGTCGAAATAGGCAATCTGAGTTACAGCGAGAGCTACATACATGTATTATGAGTAACGAAGAACCTTAATAAGTTCTTTTTCTTTGTCTTGGCCTATCTTTAGAGAAAAAAAATAAGTAGTTGTCATATAAAATCTAAAAGATATTAAAGTAATATACGTTTCAATTCTTTTGGATCATTATCAATGCAAAAAAAGATAATCAGACCTTAGATATATTGCTATACTAAGCTTTGCGATTTTTTCTAATTTTAGACAATAAAACGGCACATAAATAACATATAACAATAATAGATACATGAATATCCTGTATGGACTCAGTATTAGCACTGATTAATTTTTTTTGAGACTAATTCTTTCATTTGATAATTTATACAGATGATATAATCGCCGCACATCATATTGGGTCTTGCTGACCTCACATTCTATTGAAGCCAGATTTTAGCTTGCGTATTCTCAAAGTTCATAAGATTTTCATTCAGAAATCCGATTTCCGGGTTATATTAGAGTAGAGTCTTCGGATATTTTCAGAACGAATTTCACAGTATACCTTCAGGACATTCTCGAGCATGCACTACTTTTCGATGTCGCGGCGATTCAACAACGCGATGAACATTTCCGGTTCATTGGCCTCGATTGTACCGCCGTAATCTGCAGATTTCGCACCGAAATCGCTGCGGGTTAACTAAGCCATAATAAATGTTCCAATATGAAATCCCGATTTGCTATTTATACACATACATGCGAATTTGTATGATAAACGTATAATATAGTTTGCATATATTTTGCATCGAAATTAGATAAATATTTTGGGTCATGTGTCGGATCAGCCACATGTCACATCGAAAAAAGATACAAAATAGATGAATCATATCATTGGATAATATTCTCTGTGCGAAGAACGATAACATCATATCTATCGCGTGCGTAAAGAATTAAACGTGATGTTTTTTAAATTCAATACTGACTAAAGGTTTTCAGAGATTCCGAGAATTCGAACTGGGTCAGAATAAAAAAACTAACAAGTACAATTGAATGAGAGAGGAATGCTCGACTGTAGTTGGTTGCTTCTTGCATTCTGATCCGGTTCGAACCTTCGGTGGATACTTATACTCGTATTCATAGTCAGGCCTTATAGTTAAGGCTTTCTTAAATTTATCTTTAGATACTCTATGAATTATTTCATTGACTGCTGAGTATCCAAAGATAAATTTAAGGAAGCCTTAAGTTCTGACTATGAATACGGGCATTAGTCATTGTTACAAATGTGATTCACGCGAAGCGAAGGTTCATGAAACAAGAGTTTACATAGAATATCAGAATAAAAAAATCACAAATTGAGTTTGGAATTTTTGTGATTACTTTGAAGAATAGAGAATTACTTCAACAGCGAAGTAAAAACGATTCTAGAGAGAGAGAGGGGGGAGGGAGGGGGAGAGAGAGAGAGAGAGAGAGAGAGAGAGAGAGAGAGAGATCATGGTTGTTTTTTAAAACAAGCGCAATTGAAATGTTTAAAAACAAACTTTTTCGTAAATTCAGATGACTATAAACATTGCTCTTGCGAATGTTTTATATTATACAATTAATAAATTGCTGTTAAAAATTGATAATAGAGAATTGAAAATTTATAATATTTTATAATTATGTGAAGTTAAGAATAATTAACAAAGGACAAAGTAAAGAGGAAAAAAAGCATATGGCGAAAATTATTACTAATAAAGGAGCATCGCGCGATCGATGCTTTCGTTATGCAGAGTCACAATTGCGTGTGTGAAAAACATTGCAAAAAGAGGCGTGAAAAAATTCAGGGCAATAATATTCAGCATATTCGTGCAACCGATGAACGATACGATTATATTATCGTATTCCTACATTCTGTCGGTGGCAAGAAATTACGTGTTCGTAAATTATGCATGGCTTCGTTGCGAATAAAGTTGCATGACGTGGTAGAATGCCGAAATGGTAACAGCTGGTTTCAAGCGGAAAAAACTTTGACGTGACGTATACTATCTTAGAATTTCTACGTATATTATCTTATATATAAGAGAATGTTCCGGAAATAACAAAAAAAGTTTGATTTCGTGCTTACGGATGTTCGAACATTCCATATCAATAGATATTACTGTTAGTGTTTTTTTCTTGTGAGGAAACAACGGTTCCTCGTATGTTAATAAATGATTAGAGCTCATATGGATCCGGTATAAGACTTGGTTTGGCCGTATCAGTAGTCAGATAAGCCAAAGCGGACAATCAGAATTACAGCGAGATCTAAGTTACATTTATTATGAGTATCTAATAATAAAGAGATTTAACAAATTCTTTTTTTGTCTCGACCTATATTTAAAAAAAATAAACAGCTCTGTAAAGGTGACTGTTATACAAGTTTTATATGTAAAAATAATATACATATGCTGCGTTTCACTTAACGCTCACAATGCTCGTGGAATCATTCCATCTTTGTCGTTTATCGTAAATATTAAACAAGGATAAATGCTCGCGAGCATGTAAATGGAATGCAGTCAGTTGAATAAAATAGTTGAATAAAATAATTTATTGAATTGTGTTAATTCAAGTTATAAAACTTGTATAGTTATTCCTTTATTTGACACTGACTCTTTTTCTTTGAGTTTACATATGTCATCTTAATTATTTTGAGTGTCCCACAAGAGGTAAAAATTTAAATAATTTTACTAATTTTATACGTTTGTTTAATTTTTATTATCCATTATTTTTTCATTTTCTCACGCTTTCAATAAAATTTTTCGCAGTGACGGGGTTCAAAGTGACTTCGCGGACGATTTGGGAATTTTTCAAGAGAAAGGTTTTTCTTCGTGATTTTAAGAAATTCGTCAAAACACGTCGAAAATAATTCGCACAGGCGATTAAAATATCGGAACCGTGATTTTGCGTTGTAATTCGAGGTAAATTTCCGCTGCACCGTCGGGATTCATACGCGCGTCGTTCGCGCGGCTTCCGTATTTGCATCGCCGCGGAAAATTTGAAATTCATGGGCCCAGCCGGTAGTGGTACCAGAAGTGTCAAGAGAGAGAGAGAGAGAGAGAGAGAGAGAGAGAGAGAGAAATGGCATCATTGTTACCGGTTCTCGTTTATTTCGAGGGAGCCATGCAATTACGCAATATTCATGTCCTCGCTGGTGTTTCGCTGGCTAGTCAAGAAGGGATTGTCGAGAGGAACGGTCAGTCCACAGCAAAGAGAAAGAAACAAGCTTCTCGAAGGGATATTCTCTATGCGAGACACTCACTTTTGCGCATAAATATGCAGAATACATGCGAATGTAAAATTGGATACTAAATGATATTATAAATTATATCGGGAATATTACAATATATTAACTAAGATGCTTTGTGTGAGAAAATTGAAATTTAGTTTTCTACGAGTTAGTTACGAGTTAATTGCCCACTGATAGTAGCAATTATCTATTTAAAAAAAGTCATTGTATTTATACTTTTTTGATTTTTTTAAAATTACATATTATATTAACGGTTACATTTACGAATTACACGTTCTTCTAATTTGTTACAGATTTCATATATTTGTGTACTCGGATACGTTTCTGGCACAATAGTTCATTTGCGGATTTCAGTTTGCGCTCCATCGAAAAAGCTCGCATGCTCGATATTCAGAGATTTTGTTTCACATTTGAATATTCGGAGAATATAGGGGGTTGCATCGTATGAGAAAGATACATACAATATTCGCGAATGTGTATTTTTCTGTTGTTTGTTCTTTATTTTTTTTCCGTCTATGCATCACACGTGGATATAAATAACCGTTCATTAGTAGTCTACATCTGGTTGAATATTTTCATAATAAAATTTACATGTAATTATATATAGACAAAAAATATCGTCAAATTTTTTTCACAAGTTTACGATTATTTATACATATTTATACATAATTTAAATGATTTAAACAAAATTTTAAAAGTTTCCATAATAAATTAACGCTTTCGATCTTACTTTTGTCATTCTTTTGCCTATTTTTTAAAATTTAATTGTTTTGACAATTTCGAGCAAGTATTTATATTTTATTGAAAAATACATATCATTTGCGAGTATTATATGCATTTTTTTCATGTGACACAGCCTTAGTCCGAGTATTCGAATTCGTCGGTAGATTATATTATTGAGATAGTAATTTGATTCAGTTATCGTAAAAATTTTCTTAATAGACTTTGTATTTTTATATTTTTTAAAAAAGAAAAATTAAAATTTTTGAAAATTTATTCAAGTATAATTTATTCGAGGATAAAAATTATATACTTAAAAAAATGTTACAAATAAATCAACAAAAAATGTTTAAAAAATAGCATTTTCACTAAATAGAATTTGTGGTTATGATAAAAATTTTTT